GTAAAAGCCCATACCATATGGGTTATGAGATCTGCACAGTGTAGACAAGCAGGTGGCAGGACAAATGCTAGAAAGTCCTTGCCAGAAAAGCTTAAAAGAGTTTTCGTGTGAGGTGGTGTGCTGGTGGACGCCGTATCTGCTATGCAATGACAGGGACACCTGGGGATACTCTGAAACAATTGTCAGGCCTGAGCTATGGCTGCTGCTCACCCACTGTGTACCCTGGTGAGGACAGCCTGGGCAGCTGCCCAACAGACCAGTGCAGACATTGTCCTCGTGCCTTCCCTGCAGTATGAGAGCCCATGCAGAGAAAGCAGAATTTGACGTGGTCTTAATTTAAGACAGGAATGTGTCGTAATAGTTGACTAGTCTATTCTCCTATGTATATCTGTTGTCATCTTGCTGGGATGGGTCAAGTTAGTTTCTGCTGGCCCCTGGGAAGATAACGAGGGAGGATTCCCCAGCCAGCTGCAGTGGGACAAAATGATGTCACGTATAGATATGTCTATAGCACTGGATTAGTGGTTGGCTGGCATTATCTTGGGCCAATATGTAAACAGTTGCTAGGCAGATTTAGGTTGCTAGGTAACCCTGTGTTTAATGCTCTCTGGCAATGTCAGAGCTGAGACCTTGGGGAGGAGGGACTGCCACATTGTGCTCCGTTTGGGTGCCCTGCGGCTGTAATGTGAAGGTGGACCACCCTGGTCACGACTACAGGCCGTGTCCTTTATTTATGAGAACATCATGGGAGGTTCCTCTGCAGAGCAGTGCCATTCCCTTGGGTCATCCTGACTGCTGGGGTCCTGTGGATTATTGCACTGCGAGAGCCCACACTCACAGGGTTAGCAGCCACATCACTTTCACGACCTTCTTCACATCCAAAGCCAAGACAACGTGAACCGCCTGAGGATTTGCCCTGAGGTGAGCTCCTGCAGGACGATACAGAAGCAGCTATAAAACCTTTGATCCTTCTGCTACAACTGTTGAAGTGCTGCACTGAAGTTTGCCCCTCTGGAGTCCCCCTGCCTGCTCTGTCCCCCGTCATCTCTGCAGTTCCTGCACCCCCCCGGATGCTGCTCTGCGCCGCTGCTGATGGGAGCTTGGCAGTGACTTCAATGCAAGCAGGCGTCTACGCAGGGTCTCCCATTGTGCTTGGCCCTGTTATCAGAGACATAAAAGGAAGAAGGCACTCCTTACATTCCCCTACGTGACCCAGAGCAACAGCTCCGCGTGTGGATTTTTTATTCTTTTGGGGAGAAGGGAATGAAGGTGGGTCTAGTAAAATAAATTGCAGGACTTTTTGTTTTGATTAAAGCCATTGTGTAACTACTGCTTGTATTTTCTGTAGTCACATTCCTACAGCTACACTTACAATAGAAGACAGCTTATTTTTAAGATGAGAGGAAGACTTGACAAAAGGTTACAGTAAAGCAAGAAAAGCTAACAACATTGATAAAGTATGCCCTTGTTATAAAATTATCAGCCCTAATTCTTACTTCGATATAAACCTGGTTTTGGTTTCTAGCTGCAGGCTAAAAATTGTTACAATAATATGCTTTCTCAAATACAATGGCGAGGTGGAGGAAAAACAATCCAAATATACATATCAAAACTAGCTATGCTTTCTTATTTGAAAAAGGTATTTTTTGTCCCTGGAGAAATGCCACATTCATGCCTAAAACGTAAAATGCAGTGAAGGAATAGATGGCAGTATTTAAAACATGCAGATGAGCTCCAGAAACTTCTAAGGGCATTAGCATAGCTGTCTGCAAAGAAGGTACTATTTATCTTAAGAGTCACTGGGTAATGTGTCACACGTACAGAAAAGGGAGGTACAAGGTCAGCTCTCTTATGCTTAGGAGCCCTGGTAGTTTGGAATTGGAAATATGTTTTTTTTGAGGCCCTCTGCCATTTAACTTCCAAGAAAAAATACTGTAGCAAACAAATTCTCTCAACCTTTCTTTTTCTCTCTCATTTTCTCTGTAGGAAAGCAAGATATTTTCTATTTTTTTCATCTTGAGAGTGCCTGAAAACTAAGAATAGATGAAAAAGAAAAATACTAACAAGCTTCTTCCAGAAAAATTCCTGTATCTATAGATTTATATATTTTAGGGTTTCAAAGGAACATTATGGTTATCTAGTCAGAACTGCCTGACAGGCTGTAAAACCTCATCAAGTAATCTCTCCATCGAGCACATAACATCTGTTTGAGTAATTGCATACCTCTTAGAGAGATACCTAGTCATGATTTAAGGGCTGCAACTGATGAAGTTCTGCAGTCCTTACTCAGAATTTGACTCAATGAAAACATTGGCATATTATGCTCTCTGTCTGTTAGGTTTGGAGGAACAGAAAGAAATACCTGGCTTTAAATGGAGTCTTGTTTGAAATCTGTATGAATAAACTCTGCAGAATTTAAAACAAACAAAAAGAGAATGCATCGTAAGAATACTTGTGCACCACTTTCTCTTTTGTAAGGACAGAAAACCATACTCTTCTGTCCTTTTTCTTGGGATTTTCAGAGAATATTGACAAAAAAGATGAATCCTGCAGGTGGACCTGTTTGGGTTTAACCTGATTTACTTTTCTAATTCAGGGACCTACAGGAACAAGTTTCCAGCCCTCTGTATGATGCGTTATTCCTAACATACAGTCTAGTCTGGTTTTACAGGTGGTAATACTCCACCTTCAGTATGTTTTTAAAGACACTAATGTCAAGAGAATTACAGCAGAGGCATTAACTTTAAGTAGTGAGATAAGAAAGTTCTCTCACAAGTGCCATAGGAACCCAAACTTCCCTACGCTAACGAGACTTCAGGTGTTCAGACTTAACACCAGGGCAAAATGGTGACTGAACTGCTCACTTACTGACAAATACCACAGAAGCATACGAGCTCTGTGACAGAAATAAGGCCTAACTGGCATTCTGATCAACACATTTGTGCCTGCAGTGGAAGCTGTATAAATATACTTGGTTGTTAAATGTGATCAAGAAACCTGATAAATATGTATAGCCAAAAGCTGGCATTTTCTGAACAGATGTGGATACAATATGTTCACAGATCATGTCAGGATGTGAACCTATGCTCATATGCAACTTTAAAGTACACATTGCCAGAACTTACTTGCCCTCTTTCAGACACAGTAATAAATAGTAGAAAAATATTTCAGAATACAGTAACATTGCCAAAACATGATCATATTGGTAATCTTGTTTTCCATGGTAGTGAACTTTATGCATACATAAACATTCAAACTATGGTAGCTCTTCTCTTTGAAATAACAAATGTTTCCAATATTCATTTGCACCATCTGATACAAGAATAGATTTTGCTTACGTCCAGTGGTGTCCTGCTATTGCTTGAATTGACTGTCACAGCTGAAGGTCATGGAGTGACTCAGTGCCAACACAAACAGATGAAATACTGGGAAACCACTTTTAAAAAATCTTACCTTACTAAAAGCAAGCACAAACTCCTTAAAAATGTAAACTTTGAAAAGAAAAGCATCAGTCATGGCTTCTCAGCTCATCTTTCAAAGTTAAATCAACAGAAAAACCAGTCAATATTTGCACACCTAAATAAAACAAGACAGAATCTTACTTCGGGGCTTAAAACAGCTCAGTTCATTTCCCTAGTCAGATAGAGGCGTCCTGTATGACCTCGGATAAATGGTTTGGGACAAGGTTTCTGAAGGTCTGTAAATACCTAGATGTACCTTTAGATTTGCATTGGGGTATTTGCTACAGATTCTCATAACTAACGGGCACTGAAAATGAGTGCATATCTACCTTTAAAATTATCTTTAAGTGTTTTTCCCAAGGGTAAGTCTGTGGATGACTAGGGGTTCACAAGCCCACGAAACTGGGGTATTATAAATAATGAAATTCAGAATTATTTTCACTTTACATTTTGTTGATAAGGTAGTATGGTGCCCATGAAGCCTTTGAGAATGGACAGTTCTGACAGTCTACTCTAGGAGAGTAGAGTCTGTTCCCCTCTGTAATATGAGAACAGTTGTACCTTCAGTAGGAGTTGTCAAATAAACACAGGACGCATTACAAGACAGTCATATTGTGTCATAATGTAGCCATATTTCAAACTTGACTTGACAAGGAAAAGAAAATATCCACTTGCTGCATAAAGAATATACGTTTGCTCTGTAACTGGCTCACTCTATTTCCACAGTTCATCAGAGGAGGGAGAAAGAATGCAACTCAATTCTCATTGAGGTAGGGGGGAGTCCTTACACCAAAAATTGATAGCATGTAAGTAGCATAAATCGCACAGCTGGGTGTTGCTCAGTACCTCCTGGAAGTTTATCAGCACCTCAGAATCAGGGCAGAATTTGTATATTTCGGGCTTGATTCTGCAATATTAAAACAAGTCATCTCAACTTATGCAGAATTCCTTTGAAATCAGGAGGACTAATTGCACAAAAATCACTCAGGATAGAAGGAGTTGCAGTGAGGCCGTAAGAGAGCACAGCTACATGCACTTTAGGCAATTAAAAAACCTCTTTCCACAATGCACATTGCATACATATGAATAGGCTAATTGCTGATGGGAAGGCACTAATGGTGTTCATTAAACATGATGGCTCAGAAGCAACATCTGGCTCAAGGAATCCCTTGATCTGAGGAGTCTGGAAGGGATATCAGGGAAAAACAATTTAAACATATTTCTTATAAACCTTCATAAGCATTTGCTATGAGCAACTGTCAGAGGTGGGGTAATGCAGAAGGCACTTGCTCTGACAGTTACTATAGTCCAATGCTTGACTGTCACAGATTCCATCACATGTATGAGAAACTATATTACAGTCGAAAAAGGGCATTCTCAGATTTCTAGATCATAAACTTCAACATTTACCCTTGTCATTTATCACCTGACACAGTGGACCAGTGGTGACCCCAAACCACTCATTCACGACAACCAGTAAGATACTACTACTGAGGATTTTTATGTTGACAAAGTAGGTAGTGCAGATATTATGAGAACGCTGTATGCCATTTAACAGTTTAGTTTTGCTATACTTTTTAGATTTATAGAAATACATTTATTCTTTGTGCTAAGAGGCAAAAACCATTTCTGCTTCAAATTATTCAACTATGGTTAGTCCACTTTAATTATTGCCTATAAAAGTGTTTTATTCTTTTCTTCAATCAGACTGGCAGAGATCACTTAGAGCATTCAACTAGAACTGTCTCAATAAAAATTAATCAAAAGCTCCTGTGAGTTTGAGCATGGGATCTAGTAAACTCAGTAACAAATAAAACATAATTCTAAACATTCATGTTTACAAAAAAAATTACAAAATCTGAACAATAAGTTAATAAAGTGAAATAGTTATCTACTGTTCAGATATAAAATCCCAGCAACTTAATTTATATATCACTATAGCAGACATGACAAAATTGTGAATAATGCTATCCACTGTCATAAGTGGTACTTCAAGATTTCCAACAGAAAACTTATATTTTAATTTTCTGTTCATATATAGCCAAAAGCAAGAGGCAAAGCCAGCCTAATAGTAATCCAAGGTTCTGTAGGAGAAACATCAACCAGGGTCGCCGTGTCTGAATATGAGTCATTTCAGGAAGCTAAAAAAAGAATAAGACACCAGAATGAGAGCCAGATATATTAATCTCTGGGAAAAAAAGTCTTATGGGAAAACAAGGCAAACTTCATTTAAAAAATCTTTCAAAATGCTGAGTTTCTGAATATAGCTATTAATCTGTAGCATGTTCTGTACATTGTAACAACGCTGATCTTGACAGTGAAATATTTAAATTAATCAAATTCTACCCATTTTGCTTTTACTAGCACCGACAAGAATTATAAATGAGATTCTAAAATTTGTTAACCTTTCAATACTTTTTAGTCATTTTATACAGCTGTCTGTAAGGAAATGCTTATTTAGTAAAATTAGCGATTTGCAATTGTGGGCATAAACTAGTGTGATTTTTTTGGTTTCAATACTATATAGGGTCAAGCCTGCTCTTACTGAAATAACTGGCAACACTCCTGTTTACTTGGGGTTTAGTAAAGATACAAGTAGAAAACAAAATTTTTTTGAATATGCTTGAAAAAATTACGATTAATATTTTTCTCTAAGTTTTAATTCAAGTGAAGGAGCAGCACCTGCTTATAATCATATTAAAAGCTACTTGCATTGACCTTCCACCCTACATGGTCTCTTTTATCAAAGTTTTAAAAAAAATGTGTCTCAACAGAGCCTGTGGAAATGATACCTCAGGCTCAGACTCTTGCAGTATTTATGCTTTATGTGTTATAGACACCTGGGAGACACAAATGACTGCTAATTTCACATCAACTTTGGAAGTAAATACAGAGCAATGGCCTGGTAATGACTTTTGGGTTTGGTTGGGGTTTTTTTGATTGTTTGTTGTGAACTTCAAAACAAGACTGAGTGGTCCTGGCACTCTCCCATCAGTCCTTCCTGCTCTACTCACAGCCTGCGCTTGAATGAAACCATTTATTTCCTCTGCTCTTTAGAGCCTCCTCACGGGAGCTGTGAGAGCATCAATCACTGGGAGACAGTGGAGTGGTGCTGACCAAGGAGGCTAACAGGGTATGTTTACATCTATTTGCTATGCTTGTCCTTCACTTCGTCAGAGACGGGAGTCTCTGGGTCTGCTTCTCCTGCACTCTTCCTTCCCTGGAAGTTGGCATGGGCCCAAAAGAAAACTATAGTGAAAAATCTGCCTCCACTTTAAAGTTTCGCGTAAAAATAACAGGCAAACCCAAATGTCCTGGATCTCCATAACAACTAGGCAGTGGTTTAAATTGTGGTACAAATTTGCACCTTAGAAACTCATGTAGTTATACTTAACTTACATTTAAGGATCATCAGAAACTTTTAATCTAAAGCAAATGCAAACACCTCAAAGTTCTGATGTAAATCAAAACCTGAACTGACAGCTCGTAAGTGTTCAGAGTATGTGGGGTTTTTGTTGTCTATATAAGTAAGAACTGTTAACTAAGATGTAGGCCTGAATCCAGGGTTCCAGTTTAGGCCTTTGGTCTTTCTTATTTATCGTTATAATCAGTCTGTTTTGTCCTCTTCCCCAGCACCTGAGTGAACAAGTTCTCTAAATGGTAAACTTTTTCCCCTCCCACTGCAAAAGCTAGTATTTTCTCTAATCAGTCAGTGCCAATTTATGAGTCATACACATGAACAGCAGGTTCCTAAGAAAGTTCTTAAAAAGAATTCCCAGCAGGTAGTACCCTTCCTATGTCCAATGCAGATGTCTGCTCCCTCCATCTAACCTATGTGCATGTTATCAAGCACAGACACCATTTCTATAGCCTTACCTAGCATGACAACTCTGCTTATCTCTGAAAATAGAAGTTGATTGCTAACACAGTATCAGCTATGGTTCCCCAACTCCCTCTGGATACAAATGTGTGTGGTACAGCAGAGAAAACTTGTTGGTTAGGAAGCATAAGCCTATTCCTGGCAGATGCAAAGCACTTCACAAATTAAGGCAACATGGCACCACATCCAAGCTGTTGGATGCTATCACACTTGTTAACGCTTGAAGTGTGTTGGAGGCAAAAGATTAACTCTAATCAGAAGACTACTCTATTCCCATTCCATCTCATGTTATCGTGAGCACACAAAAGACATGAAGAATTAGGAAGCAGCATGCTGAAAGAAGGCATGAGGGGCTCTCAACCATGTGCTGGCTAAACAAGAGTTTGACCAAGCTGGGGCATATATGGCATGACTGCTGTGCTGCAGCAGCCCAATAACTCTTTATAAATACTCCTTTATCTCCAAAATCAAAAAGATTTTTAAGGTTAGTCAGAGAAAATGTCAGTTAGTTGCCTCAGGATGTGGTTGGCCAGCTCCTATTTCTTGATATCCTTATTGTCTTTCTTGCTTCTATCTCCCTCTTTTCAAATCAGTAAGTCTTTCTGGTCAGGAACCATATAAACCAATATGATCTATACAATCACTCAGAAATGACGTCCCAGTCCTTAGGGTTTAATACAATGCATGCGATTTCATAAATATTTATCCCTAATGATTACCTCATAGATACTCATTTAAGAAGCTGATACAGGATTTTCAAGTTTGTTTCCCAAAGGAAAAGGGGACACATTTTGTCAAAGAAACAATTCATTAGGAGTGAGTTGGCCTGTTCCATTCCATATATTGGTGTCTCAAGTTTCAATTCAGATTAAAGGTACGTTAAAGAAAAGGTGTGTTATTAATTAAAAGATCTTTGGAAACAGTGCAAAGTTATGATTGTACTTATGACCTCTAAACAGATATCAAGTACAAAAAATCTCACTATACTGCTCATAAAAAGCTGTTTTTCAGGGGATTTAATTTTGGTTAAACAACAACTAAACCCACAATATTACAGGTGTTTACTCACATGCATATCTTGAAGCAACAAACAATTTATGCTGCAATATTACACCTGTGCATACACATTTGCGAGACAAAATATTCCTCCCTTCCACCTTCCTCAGTTACTGGGAATATTAAGTTTTGCAGAATTCCTTGGTGAAAAATGAAGGGTATAAATAATTTTATCTTTTGTCCGTTTCCTCATATTTCTAAAATGATTCATCTACTCTGCTTGTTAATGGAGCTAGAATGCCATTTGTAGAAATGAAAAACCTTTAATTAACCACAGAAGTAGTTTTGTGCGACGTTGACTGCAGCAGCAGTCTCACAGTGCTGTCCTGTCGGTGAACCTCCACCTCATACCCCTCGATGTTCCTCAATGCAGAAACACATGAGGCTGTTCAGTTTTATTGAACTGCTGCTGTCTTATTTAAACTGCTGTTCTGACAAGCACGTGAAAAGCCCATAAAACAAATACTGAAAATTATAATTAAGCTTTGCACACCATTAAGTATTTGTACACCATTGGCAGGAACACTGATGACTGCTGTTTGTAGATGGGAATGCAGCAGAGAACAGAAGTTATTTCTGTGCAGAAAGTTGAAAAATACATAAAGAATGGCTGATTTTCTTTTCAGATGTACTATAAAAACTTGCAAAACTTTTCAGATCTATAGATTCCTGCAGTGCTACAGGAATATTTTTTTAAACAAAATAATCCCTGTGATATTCAACACTTGCATTTCTGACAAACATAGGTGACCAATACAACGGCAGTTCTTTTGACAAAATGCAGAGAAAGGCTGATTGGAATCCTATTAATAAAAAGGAGGTGAGAGAAATAAGATCCTCCCCTCTCTCTCCTTTCTTTCTCCTCTTCACATCAAGAACAAGATTGTGGTGACAAGCTGAGAACAAAGCAAAACATGTCCCTGTCTCTGCCTGGAACTGTGTCATCTCTTGGGATTTACAGCTGGCACATTGCTTTGAAGACTCAGGGGAAAACATGGTGGTGTTCTAGGAGCTTGTGGACCCCTGATGGATGCCAATCCTATACTGAGGGAAAAATACGCCTAAATCATTCGTAGCCACATTGGTAAAACCGTGCCTACTGAGTAGGTAGGCAGCTTCACTTCCAGATTTCTCTGTATCAGAACAAGATGCAACTTGGTACACAGTGTTCTTGTCTGTTATTTACCACCTCAGTTAGGACTGTTGCCATGTCCACAATCCTTAGGCAGTTCCCTCATAAGCTCTTAGGAGCACTTTATGTTCACTTTACTTCTGTTACAGTAGCAAAAAATAGACTAAAATACACCCAAGGTCTAAGGTCAATTATTATAAGTAGATTTTAAAATAATTATAATACTGGCATGGCATATCAGGTTTAAAGTGTTATGCTTGAACTTGATAAATGCTATCTCAGGCATGAGTTGAGGAGTGGTAGTGAACACAACAGAGACACACCCAGGCTTGGGAAAAACAGTAATAATTTTTTTCCCCCCCTTCTTGATCTAATCGCTCGAAATATTCCGTCTTTGTTCAGAAGCTTGCAAGCAATTTTACATTAACACATGTTGCTTAAAGAGCCACATGACAAAACCGGCAAGGTAATTAATTTCTGTATTGTTATAAGTGTAACAGTCAGCCATCTCTTCAATAAATGTTGTGGCCTGAGGCATCGGCATGAGTTATGATTCCACCACATTCTTCCACAGTCCTTAGACCTTCCTCCTACTGCATATCTTCACACTTTATTCTTCCATAGTGAGATCATTGCTATTGAACTGGGAATATGAAAAAAGTTGGGCAAATATGAAAAAATTGAGGCACTCTGATGGGTTTCTAATTGCCTAGGAGCTCATTCAAACCTCTCTGAGATAGAAAGGCTGGCCAGGAAGAGCACAGGATAAGCATCTTCCATTTTAGTTCAGAAACAGCAAATTCATATTGAAACAATGGATGAAAACTATATGAAGAAAACGTCAGTAAAAAGAAAAAAAGTAACCAACTTCTTCAAGATTTTAAAGAACCCTGCAGGGTCAAATGTTTCTTAATGTTGTACTAAGTAACTCTATCAGGCCTAAAAAATATATTGTTTACCTTTCCCCCTTTGAAAGTCCTTTATGTCTTTCTCATACATTACCTTCTTCATTGCCTTTATTTCACCTTTTTATTACTAATTACACCTAGCATGGCAGTGACATAAAGCAAAACCAGATTATTGTTCTAAGCACTGTACACACACAGGGCAGATAACATGCTCAAGTTCATCCACCTGCATTTGTCTGACACTCATCTGTGATGTGGCTATGTTAAAATGAAAATATAACAATAGACTGAATTTCTCACCATTTCTGCTAAAGATAAATACAAGAACATTCCAGCTGTAACAGTAAAAATCCAGTTTTGAATGCATGGGTCAGTTGATACAGAAAGGCCAATATAAAGTCCTAAGAATGCTGTTAGCGCACTTATAAAATTCATCAAAATTGCAATCCTTGTGGGGAGCCCTGTACTTAGCAGCACAGCAAAATCTCCTGCATAGAGAGAAAGACAGAAAATTTATTATTTAGATGATAAATGTATTTGTAAGACTCTTGGTAATAAAACATGAAGGAAAATAATTAAGATATACACAAAGATAGTGAATGATGGAGGACTGCCCCTAGATTTGTGTAGAATTAGTTATAAACTAATCTTGTGTGAAAACAAACAAACAAACAACAAACAGAAAACAAACAAACCAACAAACAAAAACCCCAAAACCCCAACCCATATTGACTTGTATTTGTTTAGCTGTTCCTAAAGAGAGCATACTGTATACAGGAGTGGCTGTTCTTGATGTTCTGTGGCATTTCCAGCTTGGATACATGCAAAAGCGAAGTCACATGCTTTTCCAGAGTTTCTAAATCTTTATTGACTGAGAACTTGGCAGTCCAAATCATGTGAGTATATTTGCAGCATGGTCTTTGAGTGTTCCACAGGTGCTGCAAGTCAAAAAAAACTACACTTGTCTGATTCCAGTTTGAGTTTAGTTCCAGTCATTTCAGACGTAATTAGAATCCCATCACAGATTTTTCTTCTAAAATAAACCCTTTCATAACAGTCCAAGATTTTAAAAGATTTTAAAGTTTTTAAAAGATTTTAAAAATTCTTCTCTGTGAGTGTACAAATGCTGCTTTGACATTGGGGCACTACTGCCCCAGAATTAAAAAGGCCTGTCTTCGGAGTTAACTATTCAGTATTTTGGTAATTTTTTCGCTATGCAAACAAAAGGTACCAGTTTTACAGCAATTCCCCATCCCAGCTTTATGTTTGGGGAAGTTTTCTACATGGACAGCATATGAAATCTTTGGTCATTTAAGAACAGAAATGAGAATCTGCAGTTCTCATCTCAAACTTGCCAGCTTATATATGTTCATCATCACAGTGTCAGAAACAACTTCAGCCGTACTGAAAGATTTACCACAAGGAGATAGTTGAGGCCAGTGTTCAACAGAATGATCTTCCTGTCCTGTCTGCTAGTAAAATGGGTCATATATCTTCTTTTATCATCTTCTTATTCTTGATTCGCAGCAGGACTGAGGGTAGCATGAGGAATACGTTGTTAAATGGCTCTGCTACGTATTAAAACTTTTGGATAACCCGTTGTGTCAGCCATGCCCATTATACACACATGGCTCTTGCTCACAGCTTTGTGTATTTTTTGTGTCTGTACACATGGGAATAACGGGTCACTCTTGACCTGATGGCATTTACATTTGGAGAAGGTGAGATGGGATGGCATTCAATAATGAGGGCAGAAGCCTTCCCTTCTTTTTGTGAAGGGGAAAGAGAAAACAGCCTCTTTATATATCCATCTCACACATTAATGTTATATCTCATGATGCTATAAGCAAGAAGACCTCCCACTAATGTCATACAGGAAAGAATTCTTTGGGCAACCTGCAACTACAAAGCCAATCAGGAAAAACACACATATGTATTTCTTACCCATTTCATGTGGAATTTCATGGCATAAAATAGCAATAGTCGTTGTCACACCTGTTTCTGTTGAGGACGAGAATGCTGCTCCTATTACCAAGCCATCAGCAAAATTGTGAAGACTGTCACCCACCAGAACCATTATTGCTAACAAGCTAATTTTCTCACCCAGGAAAAGACAAACAAACAAACAAACAAACAACAAAAAAGCCCAGAAGTTTTAACACAAACAGTTATTCTAGTTTTTGCTGTTACAAATGATTTTTTTAATGATATCACATATAACTTTATGAAAAGTCACAATGATCAGAGGAAAATAGTGTTTATATGTTTTGACCTTGTTATTGCACTTCTGTCAATACATTTGAAACAAAAAAGTATGTTGTAGAATAATTCAGAGATACAAATACCAGGAAGTATCTTCCTTACTTTTACTAGGTCAACTTTTAGACAAAAAATTAGAATTAGGCTTGAGTCCAGCCTCATGATATATCCTAAGGGTTTCCATTAATCTTCTTTGGTTGCTGAAATTCACACAAGTTTTTCTAGATTTTTTTTTTTTCTTTAAAACATGGGAGTATTTCTACTGTCACCCATAGAATTGCACAGCTATAGTGAAAATGAATATTTAGTCTCATGCAACTGATCATTTTAGTACTGTAAAGCATGCTACTACTGAATAATATTTTCAGGATCTGTTTTTTATGAGATTGTATTACAGTGACAGATAGAGATGAAAAGCAACAAGCCTCAGCGTATCGGTATTAGTACAGCATTACGGCATGCTCATTTCCAACTTTTGTTCCAATCAATTAGTGGCTGTTACGCTCATAGTACTCTTATCTGCAGCATCACTCATGGAGGCACATGGCTGTTTTTCTTTCCTGTGCTGTACTGTGACCTTGCTTTAGTGTGGAACAGTACACTGGACGTTCACGATCGGGCATCTGACGTTAGTGGAAAGGTGCTACTGGTGATACAAGTACTGAGATCAAGCTAGGGAATTAGGGACAGTCTCTCTGTCCAGCCTGTAACCCAGACAGCTGGGTAGCATGCTGAATGGATTCACCGGGAGGGATTTTACCTCTTCAGGTATCAATGAGGCTCCATACATAGGCCTAATGTCTAAGCCTAGCAAAATATAATTGGCTCCCCTATGCTGTGCTTTGTTCTATGCATTTTATCCACAATCTTACAAGCAGGACCGCCTAAAGCCTCTCAGGAAACTCATCTATCTTCCCTCTACGCAGTATGGACAGAACACTTTGCAAAGGGTTGCTTTCATGCCTGAAGAAGCAGGGTGGTGATTTGGGCCCTAAGCATGTATTTTCCTGTTTTGATGGCCCCTCACAGACATAATATGACAGTCTAAGGAGCTAGCGTGGAGCTGCACAGAACTGTCCGAAGACTGTTATTACAAGGTTTCACTTCAGTAATGTTTTTCCAGAGATGACCATTTTATAGTGATGGGGGAGATGTTTTTCCTACAGAAACTGGCTAGAACAGTTTCAAATAATTATAAAAAACCACACAGCACATAAAAGCCTAACAACTGTATTCAGAAAATCCTCCCTAGTTGCCTGGGAGCTCTATGGGTTCAGAGAAATTGGCAGGCTTGCTATATTTTCCTGCCAGCCTACAGAACCAGATGTGGATGTCCCCAGTTTGCACAGTTCTTTCTAAACACTATGGGCAGTTTGTAATCAATAGTGTAGAGCGTGAATTACATAGAAATAATAGATTGCTGCTTTACATTAAGTTTGTGACTTGTCATAAGCACTGGCAAGGACGAAATTGTGGCCTGCCCTGAGATGTTATTAGTGTGTTTTCTTCAAGTATCTGATTGTTGAAGAAGATACACCATGGTTACTGGAAACCACTCCAGCATGCTGTCTATAATATAACATAGGGGTCAGATTAACATTATGGAGCAATTGCAAATGTAAGCTTTGTGAACTTACTTGACTGAAAGTTAAGAAGATGCATATATAAACAAATCTGAATGTTTATCTTAATTTACTTTCAGCCTATTATAAAGCAACTTTGTTACTAGCAATTATCTCACCACATTATATTGCTGCAACAGTAACTACTAACTATTAACTTATTACCCTAAGTATTTCTACAACGCCTCTTCTTAAACAATCCTACATTTATTTTTTGTTATTTTCTCTATTTAAATAGGGGATGAGGACTCATAGCAAATTCTATTCCATAATTTTCATAAGGCTAATGGGTGCAGGACTCCCACCATAGATTACACTTTTTAAACTTTGAATAAGAGCTTAAAGCAAACATTCATCCATAAATAGATATTTTTTTTCTGATGTTTTCATTACTCATAGAGCAAAAATATTTCTAGTTAATGTAGAGTCTCACTGAGTATAATATAAAAATACTAGTGTTTGATCTTTTCAGGTATTGATAGAATAAGTGTGGATAAATGAGGAGAGGGCCAGTGAGACATCTTTTTCTTTCAGTAGCTTCTTGCTTTCTGAGTTACTCACTGGCTATCTAAGGTGACCGACTCCTCTCGCAGTCGTACTTGACATGCGTTTACAGTGAAGTCTGGCATTTCTGGAGATGTCAGGCTTCTGTCTTAGAGCTGGGGATTCCATTCCATTTTGGGAAAAAAACACTTAAAAGTTTAGCTCAGTATCAAGGTACCCAGGCATGTTTATGCATTTAGCTATTGATAAGAACTGTAACAATACAAACTTTTGAAAATACATATTCTCAAAAAAACTCTAAAGCAAAACAACACCCCTTCCCTACTAGGGTTTCATTTACTGATTTCTAATATTGAGGTAAAAGTGAGGTATGAGGAAAAAAATGGAACCAACCAAAGATCATTACTGAGAAGCTATCCCAAAATTAGTTATACACCAAATTCACTTATTTGGAACAAATAACATACTGAGATCATTAGAAATTTGTTTGTGTTTAGCAGGTAGTGATGATTGAACAGAATACAAACATCTAGAGATGGACTAGACAGTCACACTGAAACTGGCATTGGATTGTCTACTGCTGGACAGGTGAGACTAAGGAAATGGAAATCCAGATTCAAATGCCTCAGAAATGGAAATGAAGTCCACAAGAACAGAGAAGAATATTAAAAACCTAGAATTTTTAAATTTTAAAATTTTAAACCTAGAATACTTTTAAATAAATCAAACTGATGATCTGAAATCTGAGATCACAAAATAAAGGGGAATTGATTATAGTAAATAAACCAATTTCAATTAAAATGTTATTCCTCAGTTGAATGACTGCAACTTTACCAGATTCACCAAGGTCACACAAGTACAGTCAAAGGTAGAGTTTGCTTTATGCTCTATTTTCCCATTTTTTTGGACTAAGCAGCAACAAAACAGAGCAGATAGGAGTTACTTCGAAGCTCTCTGAAGAAAACAGACTGTCCTAAAACTGAGAGCCAACATGAGCCTGCAATTCCATCCATGGTTTAAAGGGGCTATTGCTTTACTGTGTAAGAGAAGAAGGAAGCAGAATTATATTATTATATTGAACCAACAAAACAATCATTTCACTACCTTCAGAAATAAGAGCCCAAGCAAAGTTTACAATTATAAAAATCTGGTTTGTATTAAATTTTGAATACTTCCCTTTAAGCAAAGGCTTTAGAAAAATAGTTTGCAACAATGAGTAAACAAACACTAAAGCATGGACAGTATAAGATTAATGAATTTCACAATTACAGCGTTGGCAACTGAAAAGGTCTTTAACTAGAAATTAAATTACGTAGCCAAGCACCATCAGATGTGGTGATGCAGCACATAGCAAATGCAGAGCTAAGCCAGCTTCACACTTTCAATTCTATCTTAGGTCTGAAGGTTTTTCCTGTTACTTGTCTAATCTTTTTATTGATACTAACTTTTTTTGCTGATTGCCTTACTCTCTGGAGGAACTTCAGCAGACTCAGAATCTTCTGGGCTTCTCTAGTTAAAAGCAAAGATAATGGATCAGTGTTAAGGGGCTCTTCAGCTGCTGCTATAAATACAGGAAAATATCAAATAAATTCAAGCTTTTTGAATTAGAGATAGTCACTGTTATTTGCATAGATATCAGTAGAATCATTTATTGAGCACTGGCAGTGTGATTGGTACTGCAGAAACACATCAAAAAGAAATCCCCCTTGCCCAGAAAAAGTTACAGTCTAATTCAGGTAGGAAGACAGACATTCATAAGCACTCTTGTAATCCAAGAAAATCATGTTTCTGCTTGAATACACAAAAATCTGAGCCAAATGCAGAACTAAAAAGGACATTATAATTAAAATTGTATCTTTTGATTTTGTCATGACTGGATGACTGTAGTTTCCTGCTGGATAGGGTGTCTACAGGATTTCCAAGGAAAAATGAGTAGACATCAGTCTCTTTGGAGTTCATGTTCTTCACAGTTACTCTGTGAAAACACAAGACTAAGAAAGATTATCACAGGTAGGTTTCACACCCTTTCAAAATACAATTTTTTTTTTTTTTTCTGCAGGGTGGTACAGCCTCCAGTGCCTTGCCTCTTGGCCTTTAGTTAGGGTTTTGTCTTGGCATCAGGCATCGCTGGCTGGGCATAGCAGCACATGAGTACACTCCATTGCAGTGAGTGAAATTTACCCTTATTTCAAGTGAAGGAAGAGAAAGTATTTTTGTCCTTATCCTAGAAAGTTAATTTGATGTACCAGCCCTAATCTTTAATTAACAGAAACTGCAACTGTGGGGAGAGAAGGGAGAATGTGAGGAATCTCTCTCTCCCCCTAGCTCCCTGGGGCTTTTCTTTCTGACTAGAGAAATTATTAGAAATTTGTGCGAGGGTGAGATAAGCCAAAAAAATTGTTTGCTTGAAACTAGAAAAACTGAATTTATAATCACTATCTTTTCTTTTTGGGGGCAAAAAAGAATATTAAATCTATTATGGCAGCCAGCAACAGCAGCACAAAAGACTGCTTTGTCAGGTACAGCAGCCACCACTACAAAAACTGTAGCAGAGATGTGTACTGGCTGCAAAACAGGATATGTTTCTTGGCCAGTATTAGCTTGGTTGTGATGTGGGACATGTGCTGTAGAAGCATGAGGAGGGAAGGGAAGGATTTGGGTTTTAAATTCTATGTTTCAAAGGAAAAATAAAAGTCTTTAATTCCCATGATTGTGACCAGT